GTTTTCTGAGCATCAGACCAAATGTTTTGGTTGTTCCTGATTTCATAAGATTTGCATTTTAATGCAACTGGTTTGCTTTGTCAGCTTTTCATTGTTCTGCATTTTGTGATGTCATTTGTTTTATGATGATATCTGCCAGTTTTTAAATTCAGTCATGATTTTTTTTTTTTGGTGCAGGTAGGTCAGTCCAATTTGACATTTAGTTGTTGATTTAAAAGTCAATTAAACTTTTTTTATAATACAGATATGCCCAAAGCAATACAGATTTGATTTTAATATTTCATATTAATGAAAAGATTATCTGTCCAAGCTTGGAGCATTATCAAGTTGTAAAATTTTGCTATATTTTTCACATAGCAAATTGTTCATGTGTTTCTGCTTTTGTTGAAAAAAAAGATAGCTTAAATAAGATCTTTTGTGGTTGTATTTCATTTCTCAATTAAAATATTGTTCAGTAATCTTCCTGAAATGGATCTCAACTCACAATAAAAGCCAGGATGATGAACTGATAGAGGAATATGATGCTTATTTTAGGAACTTTCCTAATCACATTTTAATGCATTTACTTGTTACTCAAGACCTTTCATGGCAAAATATACTTTACAAAACACAATAAGAAAAATTAGATTGGAGAGTTTGCAGATTAGTTTGCTAGACATCAGAACTCATGACTCAGCTTTAGGGAATATGCAGCAAAATGATTCTTCATAGAGAGAGAGAATTCCCAGAAATAATCAATATGCAGGAAATGCTAGTGTAACCCGTCATTCAAAGATCTTTCTGGGCAGGAAATCAGACTCACATAAAAAGAATTTGTGATTCTTACAATCTTTACAAACAAGGAAATTTTCCTCAAAGTACGACTTACAAATAGCATGATCTGGCAAAATGAATATTCATTGTTTTTGTTCTGTTGACATTTGCATTAAATTAATCACTGGTGATCAAACTTTTCTATCGCCAGTGTATTTCTGTAACATTATTCCAATCTGTTACAACTGTTCTTTAGTTGCTGACCGAGAGAAAGATTTGAGGAGAGATGGGTTACATTTCCTGTTGGGGGGTTTTGGGAACATTATAAGGAAAATTAGTTTATGCCCATCATGGTAAAAGAAGACCACAATAGCTCTAGAAAGAAGTCTTGTTTGCAGAACTACATTTTCACCAACAAAACCCATAATTACTTGCATAAGTGTTCGTAAATGCACTTGCACTTTTGATAATATAAACTTTATATGCCAAGTCTGTACATCAGCTTTATACATTTGAATATGGCAGGTACTCAAAACCTGCAGCATAAAAATTAAATTTATCTAGTCTTATAGATTCGATGCCTGCCTGCCTCCCTCCCTCCCTCTGCAGTTAAAATGAGCAATAGATGAAGGAAAAAACTTCTTCCTTAAATTTTGTTAAACAGATCTGCTGATATATATTACAGGTCTAGACCAATTTAAAAAATCTGTCTTGGGCCCAAAGTAATAATTTGTGTCCCTTTTAATGTTTTAAAAAATGGAAATAATTAAAGAGAGCCTTATCCCTTGATTTGTAAAAAAAATACATAAGATAACCCATTGGCTATTTCATTGTCCAATTTTTAATTTGCTGCTGTCTTTAAGAAAGTTCATGTATAAGCTGCAGAAACTATTGTCAAGAGAAGATGACTTTACTAAAGGACTGTATACTGTAAATAAAGGCAAAATGTATTTTATTTTTGTGCCTTCAGTTTAAATGACTAAACTAGCTGAATCAAACACATTCCTGAAAGTTTTCATAAAATGTTCATTAAAAATTCAATTGTGGATTATTTATTTACTGTATTTATTTATTATTATTTTCATTTACAGTAAAGATAGCCTATTGGTTCAGACCAAATTCACTCTTATTTTTTCTGAATTGATACATCAGTATTATGCTACCGTAAATTATAAGCAGATGGATGGAGTTATGGACAGAGCTAATAGTGTCCTTTATGAATTCTTAAGCAAGCCAATTCAGATTTTGCTCCAAGAATCAAAATTTAGAATATTTGTATACATTATGTAAACATTCAGGTAGAGAGAAGTTCCTGAAGACAGCTTGGAAGACTAAACCTCTGTTCCCAGTAAATGATCCAGATTGGATCCTGCATTATGTGAACAAATTATATTTCCATATATTTGCAAACTTTGCATAATTTATCCTCCTAGTTGCATGATTCTTGGATTTATCTTCTTCATAGGTGAAAATGTCAGCATACATAAGAGCATGAAACTTGAAGGGAATGTATTTTCAGGACTTGCATTTTGGCCTTACATAAACATATTCCAAAGCAAACCCCAGTGAGTTCAGTTGAATTTATTCCAAAGTCATTATACATAGTATATACACTGATCATTTTTATTTAAATTATCTTTTCATTTCTAAGACAACAAAGGGCCTTTTCTTCTTCTTCAGAACTGAACATTAACTTTGCCACCAACCTCAAGACCGGGAAACTTAACAACTGCTTTTTTAATGCAGACAATTAGAGGCAATATTTGAGTGACAAATGCATGAGGTATTGTTTTGTTTTGTTTTTTTGCTTGTATAACCTTCTTCCTCTGTTGCTCATCTGAAAGATCAAATATGTGTATAGCTTTAGCTGAAGAGTAGAATTGCAAGAAGAAAATTTGAAAAAAGGTGGTGCTGGTTTGTTTTATCTAAATTTGAAACTGAAAATCTGCTCTGTTTTAATGATAGCATCGTACCAGCAATTACTTACCTTCAGAATTGATACATCATAAAGAAATGTGTGCATATTATACTGGAAAAATTATCTTATAAGATTTTTCTACCTGGGAATAAAATATCTTTATATGTTTAATTTTAACACATACAGACAATCCTAGGTTTACAGGATATGTGATTTTGGGAAATTATTGTAAAAGAGAGGATTATATTTTTTACATTATATAAGATATTGTCAAAATTCAATGGTAGGAAAACCACACAAACTTTTTAGTTAGTAAAGAAACATGAAATTCTGTTACAATGATGACATTTCCTCAGGAATGTAAGACATTGCTTAAGATTCATCACAGGATATTTATGATTCAATCTCCAACATGGCTAATGAGACTCTGGGGTTTAGAAATTCCATGGATTTGTTAAAAGATTACATGCCATTTTTTACTTATGGATATTTCCAAAGGCCTATTGTGCAATATATACACATATATACCCATAGGACATGTACACACAAATATATACCCATTATACAAAAGGCATAGAAATTAAACATTGTCACCCAATGAATTAAGCTGCTCATCATTGTATTTGTTAATAAATTTGTATATTATCTTTATGCAAGTAATGCAAGCAGAATTAGCCCTACCATTTGGCAGAGTGAAGCACCTACCTCAAACAGCAAATGTCATTAAAGACAGAAGTTTATTTGTTGAGATAATCATCTTTGAAAATATCTCCTGAACTTACCCTTCTCTATAAATGGAATATGAAATAGGAGGGGTTTTTTTTGGCATTATATTATTTGCACCAAATCTCTTGCACCTAAGGATCTGTCCATGGTACTGCAAGTCTTCTTTCTGGTATTTTCCCCCTCTTTTGCCTGAATTCTTGACATGCATTGTTTGTCTTTCCCTTTAAATAGTGCACTGGAAGTTTAGAAGTTTGCTTTTCTTTTATATATGGTTAAAACTAAAGTATAAACAAAAAACAAACAAGCATACACGTATCCAAAACATTGTACACTAAGACAATACACTAAAAATACAAAACTTTTTGTACAATTAACATAATTAGCATATTATTACATTTTGACTACCAATGAAAATTGAGGGGGAAAATGAGCTTGATATCAAGGATAACCTGCCAGCTGAGAGAAGAAAGAGCATTCTCCCCCTCACCAAAATATATACAAAAGGCAGTGGGCAAGTATGCAGGATCCTGATTTTGTTTCTTGCAATGGGCAGTGTAAATATACTGTTGCATGAGAATATTGTTAACTCTTCTAACAGAAAAAAAAATTAAGTTGTGTGTAAGGGTTCTCCTGTGCATAGGACAAAGAATATCAGCTAAATATTTGTTGTAAGAACTGTGTCTTACAAACAGACCTGACCTGTTCAAGATGGAGAATTGTTCTTAAGTCATACTGAACATCATTATCAAAGGCCCGTTTGCTTTAGCTTTATCTAAACTGTTCAAGATCAAGTAAAATCTAGTGCTGAACTAATAAGACATAACATTTGAAATCTAGATCTATGCCTGTCTTTTATGAGAACACAACATTTTTCTCTAAGACCAAGGTGGCTAAGTAGCATTGGTATTTAATTTTAATGAAAACTAACTTGAGCCGAAATGTCAGCCTGATATTTTTTTCAGTACTGTTTATTCTTGAAACCTTCAATTAGGAAGTAAAACTAGGATACATTTTATTAATTCCTTTATTCCATGTCCAACTTTTTCTTTGAGGGGATGTGTTCCTGAAATCTCAAATATGACAAATATAGGTTACTTTGAAATGTTCCTCCCCAAAGAACAAAATGGGACAAAACAAAACTGTTTATTAGGAAAAAATATGATGCCTTTCACAAATGAAAAGTTTGTGAGTTTGTTAGTAGGACTATTTGATTCTATTAGCAACTCTGTCTAAATAAAGCAGAATCCTATGAATTACTCACAATGGCTGATCTTATATACCTTAATTTTATAGGTAAATATTCAATGTACAAATGTATATCAGTTGTGACAACTCCGAGTTTGAAAACATGCTTAATGAATTCCAGATAGTAACATGCTCGCCTTTCAGAAATGTTGAGCATCCTGGAATTTGTATTAAGAAACACTTTTGTATATATTCATTTCCTGTAACCTGTATAAGGTGAATTTCTTGTTGGGAACTGTCACATTACACAACAACAGTTTTTGATATGATTTTTAAAAATAAAACAATTTCTCTCCCTAATTTCTGAAGAGTAATGAAACCCTGTTTTATATAATCCTGACTTATCTTTTTGTAACAGACAATGCAGCAGATGAGTGACCACCGTTATGACAAACTTACAGTTCCTGATGATGCAGCAGCAAACTGTGTGTATTTAAACATTCCTGGAAAAGGTCATGTTTTGTTGCACCGAGCCCCTGAGGAGTATCCAGAAAGTGCAAAGGTAACAGCAAAAATGCTAGACCTGTTCTTATAAAATGCCGATCAGCTCTAAGTTAAGATTGCTTGGGAGAGAAGCATTGAATCTGTAATCTCCCCCCCCCCCCCCAAACACTGCTTCTACTGAAATAAGGAAAGTAGCAAAAAAAAACCCAAAACCAATTCTGGTGGACTTTGAGGATGCATGGTACTAAACAGAATTTGGTAAATAGAAATCAGCAATGTCAGGCGGCAGGAGTGGCAAAAAAAGGTTAGGTGGTAGAAGTGTTGTTACGATGCACTTAAAAATGGGTCAAGCCTCCACCATCTTGCCTTTTTTGCTCCCTCTCCCTTTGTTCCCTATGGAACTGCTGCTAAGAAAGAATGCTGCAACTACAGACTTTTATATAATCTGGATGAAGATAAAAACAACTATTCTCAATAACATGTCATGGTACAAAATATGTTTGTATATTTTGTTTTTTCGATCCCGGGGTGCAGAAGATCTGATCAAGTCCTTGCTTCTTGCTAGACCATTTGCAATTATTAAGCCACCCATCACTTTAAACTTTTACTTGGGATAAGGCAGGGGTGTCAAACTCCCGGCCTGTCAGCTGGATGCATCATGCACTAGCCATACCACATCCAGTTTAGCGAAGGGGGGAAAGTCCCAATATATCACGTGACACCACCATGATGATGTGAGTTTGATACCCCTGGGATAAGGGATTCAAACTGTAAATTGCAACTCTCCATTGCTTATATCAGATTCTGAATTAAGAACAATTCCAGTTCAGCTACCAGATTTTTGTTGGTTATATTTGTTATTCGGAGGGTGGGGCTCAGTAGTTTACACTGAGCTTTTCAGTTGAACTGACAGCCTGGGTTTGAGACCTAAGCTCCACACTGTGGGTTGAGCTCCCATTATTTGTCTCAGCTCCTGCTCACCTAGAAATTCGAAATCATGCAAATCCGTGGTGGGATTCAAATTTTTTTACTACCAGTTCTGCTTAGTGGGCATGGCAGGGGAAGGATACTGTAAAATCTCCAGTCAGAGGTGTATTTGCCGATTTTCCAAACTATTCAAAATTTCCTCTACTGGTTCTCCAGAACCGGTCAGAACCTGCTGAATACCACCTCTGATGCAAATGCAAGTAGAATAGGTAATAAGTTAATGGCGGGAAGGTAACAGCGTTCCGTGCGCCTTTGGTAGCCATGCTGATCACATGACCACAGAAATAGTCTTCGGACAATGCTGGCTCCTTCAGCCAAGAAACAGAAATAAGCACCATGCCCTAGAGCAGTGATGGCTAACCTGTTCCACATTGCATGCCAAAAGTGTGTGCACATGTGTGTGTGCCTGCACCCATGATGCAATGCGTGCGCAACTCCTCCCACCCCCTGCACAAGCGTGCAGACCCTCCCTGCACTGCACGCCTCTGCACATACGCAAGCATGCCTCATGCCTCTGTGCATGCGCACGTCTCCCATGAACATGTCTCCCCCGCGCATGCGCAGCAGATACCCGACAATCAGCTGGCTGGGGGAGCACATGCGCAGTGGGGGTCTTCCAGGCAACCTCTTGTGTGCCGGCAGAAGTGGCTATGCATGCCACTTCTGGCACACGTGCCATAGGTTCGCCATCACGGCCCTAGAGAGTCAAACATGATTGAGAAACCTTTACCTTTTTATTCTTTATTCACAACCTGGCTCTCACTCTTTGGCTTCCCATATTCTCTTTTTGTTGTTTAGGCTTTGAGTTTCTTGAAATGAAAAAGGTTTTCCTGAACATTCATCAAATTATGCCATACAGAAATATGTGTGTATGCTTTGCTATTTTTAGCATGGAAATGCTGTGTACCCCAGTATTCTGTTAGTCTGGTTGTGATGATATTGCATATCAGAGGAGTCACTCTCTGAGTTTTAAGTAAATTATTTCAATTGGGCCAGAAAAGTGTTAAGCTGAACATGTCCATTTTTCATATTCATTGGCAATCATTTAGTGTTATTGAATGTAATATGTTTGGAAGTGACTTGGGCCCAAGTGAAGCATTTGATCTGATGTCATATTATATGAGTTTCTAGGGAACATTTCTTTGGATATCTGAATAAATTGTACAGACTTAGATGATACACAATAGGCAGACAGAGATACTATAGACAGATGATAGGCAGGCAGATGATGGATGGATGGATAGGTAGGTAGGTAGATAGATGATAGAGATCCTACATGTATACATTGACTTACTTGTGCCTTACTGCAGCGATCTCCAACCTTTGTGGCTTGGCGGCCTGGCTGGTGGGGGTAGAAGGAAACCAGGCTGTGTGAGCAGTAGTTTGGTGCATACACGCATGCGCACACAACTTGACTTGGGTGAGTCAAGCTGTGCGCACTTACAATGTGCTGGTCCGGGGGATGGAGACCCCTGCCTTACTGACACTCCCCAACAAACATAGTAAATGTAAATCTTTTAACATTTCTCCTGAACTTTGGCTTTATAATTTGGGCTGACTCAAAGCTTACTTTGAGGTCTTTATTACTTATTCAATCTTGATATTACTGAATATGCTTATGATTATGCTTGACAATTTTTATTGCCCAACATGTTGGGTCTGAAGCACAAGTACAGAATTGTGGTGTAACCACATAAAACACTCTGTTCCCCAACTCCACTATTAATATCTTAAGTAAGTAAGCATGGGATAAACATTATGCAGGCTGTTATTAGACATTAAATCATGAGATTGCTCTGTCACAAATTCTCCATCACTTGAGGCATAATTTTGTTAGAAATCTAAGTCAGCATTACTCAGTCCATATGACCTATCAGTGACTTATAAACTAAAATATGAAACAGTAGCACATTTATCAGTCCTTTGCTCCCCCATCTCCTCCAGTGTATTAACATGCTAACTTAAATGTCCAATATTCCAGTTTTGATCCAGAGAATCCAATTTGAGGCTGAACTGTTTTTCTGAGGTTTAAAAAAAAAAAAGGTTCCTTTCAAGTTGATTTTGACTCCTATTGATTGCATGGATACGTTAATACAGCTGACTTAACAACAGAATAGAAGTGATTTCCCATGGCCTTTTTCCAGGATATTTTTCTAGGTTCTTAATCTAGCTGATAGTCTTGGGATTCCCTGGTGCCATTACATTCAAAGACTGTTCAGACCTAGTCTTGCTAGTTTCCAAAAATGAAGGTCAGTCAGATGCCAGTATTTGCTAAGAGTTTTCTACTAAGAAATACAAAATTCTGACTGAAAATTTCTAAACTAGTGATGAAGATTCAGTAAAAAAAAGAAGATGCATAAATGTAACAACTTTTCATTTTCTTTCCTAATAGGTATTTGAAAAACTGAAGGACCACATGTTGATCCCTATAGCAAACACCGAGCTAGAAAAAGTTGATGGTGCACTCACTTGTTGTTCGGTCCTTATTAATAAATCTTCACAATTATGAGTTTACAGATTTCCTTCCTTGTATATGGCAATAATGTACATGCAAGGCAAATGAATCTGTATTTCACTTGTATTGGTTTTCTTGACAATCTACTGTACCACTGTGCTACTGACCTTTGTTTACAATGGTGCCCCTTCACTTGTAATTAAGGTGCGTGTATATGCTTTTTCTTGACATATAAAGATTTGAAGCATGTTTGTCTGGATTTCCAAAAAAATGTTATGAAAATTAATGGTTTATGTAGTAGATGTAAAATGATCTCAGAAGCATAAGTAGGGGCCACTTCTAGCATCACTTTTGACTGGGGCACAATAACAACTAGATACATATCTACTATGCTGAACATTCCTATAACTTACCTTGAGATCTTAGGACTTGAGTTTAAAATCAAGTCATTGAAGACATATGGCCAAATGCCATACAAAATGTAATACTGGACTTCCTTGCAGCCCGTTTTATGAATTTGTCATCCACAAATTCTTTCCACCCCAATGTAAGAGTAAAACACTTGTTTTTATATTGCTAGTGATTTTGTTACAGGAACTTTATAATGCTCCTTGGAGAGTTAATCCACTCTTTTTCCACTGCTCTGCGAAAGTTCCAGGATTGACATTCATAAGTCATCAAATATTTGCCAGCTGCAAAAGGCATAAAAGTGGAAAATTACAAGTGCTTACAATACCACAGTAGTTAGTCTTCAAGTATGGGCTATTAGGAAGATAAGGGTTCAGAGACATACATCTTCATGCATTTATTCTTACATGATCTCAAATAATTTCTTTTCCTTGCTTTGGGGATGTTAATTGTAATTAGATTAGAACATGAGAGGGAAATCTGCACTGGACAGGATAATGCCTATATATGTGTTTCTTTAATAAAAATAAGGCATCTGTTTAAATAGAAGAGCCTCATATATGAAAATGTTGTTGAAAGTTTGAAAGCTTGAGAAGTAAACATGGATCCAAAAATATATTACAAAATATTGAAGGATTTTAGAAGTAATACTGGAATTGGCCCAGTTTTAATCTAGTCTGACTTTTGGTCAACCTTCTCCTTAGTTGTGCAATTCTGCTTTTTTAGGAGGGGACAGAGAGTTCTAAGTTATAGATAACCAAAAGGAAATTCAGTAATTCTTCCTTTAGTGTAGTGCAGTGTAAAACACTACTGTAGTGTTTTACAACTGCAGTGTAAAACAAATTACAATTATCCTAGAAAATTTATTTTCTTTTTAGTGCCTTGGAAGAAAACTGTGAATGAAATTAATTACAAAGTGTAGGCGGATTACTGTGAGGGTTTGAGGAAGTTGTGTGTCCAAAATGCTGGTTGTTTATTTGCACTTTTTTATTTCAGTAGAAATTCAGGTTGTTCACAAGTTAAAACTTTTACATATTTTAAAGTTTTGATTCACAAAGTTGTAACAAATTAATAAAACACTTTATTTTACTGTCACCTCTCATATTGTACTGTCATGCAAGTACTTGTTATAGTTTTAAATATTCATTTGATCAGCAGAGTTCTTTTCTATTCAAACTCAAATGCTGAACTTTCTGAAAAACCTAAATAGTAAACAAGACAGGGGATCTTAGATTCTTCCAGATATTCTACTGTGCAATGCTCTGTCTCATTTATAATATTTCATGTGCGGCAGAAGGCTCCTGATGATTTTGCCTTTTACTTGTAAATCTCCTATGTATTCCTGCTGCTAATTTAATTTATATTGTTTCTGAGAGGATAAAAAACTAAGAAAAGAAAAAACTACAAAATGTACTTTGGTAGCATTCTTGGGTGCTGTTGTTTCCTGTAGTATATATCTGTGTCTTCCAAGAGACTCCCATTACTATTATGTCTAGTATTCAAGTTGTGCCTGGAAATGGATATCTTTATTTAAACTGTAAATCAACTGAAAAAAATGTTTATTTTGGCAAATTCTGCAACATGCTTAAGCAATCAGCTGTCAAATTTTAAATGTTTATATATATATATATAAAACAAGAATATAACGTAATATTCTTGGGAAACCTATTCAGTCATTTTAACAATGATAAGGTTAAACAAAGTAAATTTTCTCACCATTGCCTTTGTCCGTTTCCTGTTAATGCTCCATTTTGGGGCACTACTTCTAGTAACTGGCTAATTATCACAAACTTCAAGTAATCAATTACATTAAAACTATGGTTAAAATTATTTATATGTAAGAAACACAGGGAAACATATGTAGAATCCAGGAAATGCAACTTGGAGAATGTCATATGTAACTTTTGATTATCTTTTAGCTGGAATAATTATACTTAAAAACTCTATTTTTTTGACTCTGCCTTTCTTTAATACTATTTTCTCCTAAAATGAAAATTTATTAATTTTCTTGGCATGCTCTTGTTTTATTTCACTAAATGGTCACATTTTTATTTTATTCCACTGAAAACTGCATAATGAATTTATACAAAATTTGGTTAATAATAGAAGAAGTGCTTTGTATTCTTCATGAGTAGTTTGGAAATATTTAAAAATGTAGTAGGGATTTAATTGGAAAATGAGGTTTTTGTTTCACCATGTGAATTTCAATTCATAACAGAAAATAAGAGAAATATTTTAGAGATATTGTGAAAAGCCTTGCAAAATAACAATAATGGTTGTGTGAATTCACTTCTTAAGTCTTCAGTAGTTGCTCATTTTTTAGCTAAAGTCACAGTCCAAATAATACATGTTCTGCTTTGTTTTTACTTCATTAATACATTAATCAGGAATGTTAAACAAATTTCAGTTGGCCACCTTTCAATGAAATAAAGCCAGAAAATACTTGGTAAAAATTGTTTTACATTTTGATTTGTTTTGTGTCTGTTGTGACAACTGCATTGTCAGTAGACTTATACCAAGCATATTTTTTTCTACCTGAAATATTGTAAATTGCATCATCTGTTAGTGCATAGACTGCTTGCTGTGTCAGATGATTAATTTTTTGATTAATTTTATGTGCTAATGGATTCTACACTATTCTAAATATCCAGAATAGCTTTTAGATTATATTTATGCATAAAATATCTGCAGTGCCTATTATGTTTCTAGTTTTCCTGATGTTTGTCACAGTGATCTTGGAAAATCACTGTTATTGTACTGACATACATAATACATGTATACACCTGGTGAATCCTTTAAGTTTGAATTTTGTGCCCCTTTCTGTTCTGTTCTCATGCAGTCTGTACTTCTGAATTTATATTTACAATTTGAATTCAGCATAGCAAAATTCTGCATTGGGTTGGAACCATACAATTGAAAATGCAGACTTATTTTTAAGTAGCCCTTGTCTGGAAGAGCATAAAATTAAAAAGAAAGTTCATCAAATTTCCTTAGGTATTTTAGGCATATAAAAAGATAAGAATAATGCCCCAAATTTAATCATATTTCAGCCTTAGATACTGAGCCACTGCCTAACAATGCTATTTAAATTTTTGTTTGCATAGATATAAAGGAAAGTTATATGATCAGTTCAGTGAAGTTGTAAAGCCTTTTCTAATACTACCTCAGTAGTGCAGTGGTTCTCTAAAAATATCATATCATGAGATGGGATTAACTTGTCCTTCTTGCAAAATATGTTCTTTAATGTGCAGAGAATGTGGAAAAAAGACAGTAATTCACAACAGCACTTCTGTGATGGCATAGGCCATTCCTGAATTTACTGACATCTTAAAATGGTTCCCTTCATGTTCTCTAGTTCCTAAAAGAGAAAGCTGACAAGGCAAAACTCTCACTGATGTATTCTACAATTCTACACTTTTGGTCCCGAAGCTTAAAAGTTGGAAGCCAGAGGTAGATACCCCTATTTGATCCCTAGCTGTTTAGATTGTTTTGATTTTTTTATGGGGTGTGTGCATGCGAACAAAGTGGTGCAATATTTGGGTTTCCTTTTTGAACAAAATGTAATCAGTGTCAACTAAGGTTCTTTTCCATGTGCCAATGAGAAGTGTTTATACATGCTGTACCTTATACTGCTATACTTGGCATCCTTCCGCTCCCTCCCACACAGCAAAGTATACACTCAGTTCAATCTTTCACAGATGCCATGTTTTAGAAGTATAGTGTGGATTTTAAGGACATATGGAACATAGTCTCTGTGAGATTTGATCACAACTCCTGTAGAACACCATGTTCAGCTAGGTAGAGTACTGTCCAAAATGCCTCTCTTCTCCCTTAACAACAACAGCTTGTTAACTCTTGTTTATTCAAACATAAAAGCAGAATTAATCTGAATCAAATGTTTCTAAGGAGCTGGTACATATCCATTAATGATGAGAGGCAGTTCTTAAAGAACATTTTAATCTGTAAGGTGTCTGGGAACAAAATATGAGGCACCTCACTTGAACTCCCAGAAAGGCTTCTTGTAAATGTGTGATGTAGGGTGTAGTTTCAAATCACATATGAAATGTATTTAGCTTTGTTTTCAAACATGCTGCTACTAACCACAGAATTCAAATGGGTTACCTTTAATATATCCAACTACTTCTTTGTGTGTCAGAATTTTTGCCAAATTCCATAACCTGTTAAACCTGGAAAAATTTTGTCTTGTGCATTTCTAGCATTATGTACACCCATCACTATTGAATAAAGTGTCAGCTAAAGCTAAACTGTATGAATGTTATTTAGAATAAGACTTGAAGCAACTTATTCCTTTCATACATTTGCTTCATTGATTCAAGTTCATTTTTCTCACTGTACCATATTTTTAGAAATGAAACGTGATTGCTACTGCTGCTACTTTTAAAAGAAGTGAATTTAGACAAAGGGCTCTTCTGCATGGTAACCTTAAATTACTTGTTTCACATGGTGAAATTGCCTAGAAATTAAGCTGGCTTAAGATACTGTTGTCTAGATTTCAATCCATTCTTGAGCTTTGACCATTATGCTCCTCGGGTGTTCTATCCATATAGTGGCTATTGTGGCCTTTGATTTGGAATTCCCTAAGTCTTATCCTCTACCTCCTTTGCTGCCAAGAGAGCAAGCACTAGCTACTTTCCATGAGTAAGTCTTGGAAACCATGGTGTCCCCTGATAGACCTTTTGTAGCTCTTTGTTGAATGTCCATCAAATTTGATCCCTTCCTGTCTGGCGGAAAGGACTGGCGAAAAAAGCCCTTAGTTTTATTCTTCTTTTATTAGGGTTAGAAGTGGAAACTTGTCGATTTTCATCTGTTAAAAAGAAAAAAACTCAACTATTTCACTGATTGTCTAATTATCCTTAGACAACTGTGTGATGATTCTCTTTAATCAGCTATTACTTGCCTAGGTGCTGGTTCACAAGGTGCATATGCAGATAGGTACAAGTGAACTGATTTTTCTGAGCACTATGTATCAGCATTATAAAAACAACCCATTTAATGCCTGAGACTTGCTCCAAAGCAGGGCAGGATTTCAAGTTTTACATCACACATTGCTGTCCTTTGATGTAGACATCCTCCAAAGTGGCTGTGGAAAGTCCACCCAGTAACCAGAAGGGAAGGGAAATGCTGGCATTTCTGTACAATGCTCAATAGGAGTATAGATATTTAGATCAAATTGAAACACAACAGAGAAACTAATACATGTCAGGAACACCACTATGAAACAGGAAAGCATGACTGCAGGCCAGAGTAGCGTGAACTGATGGCTTTGTCCATTCAAGTCCTCTCAGTGTGACTGCTGAAGCATTGCCTGCCCACAGTTGCCTGTCTGGTGAGGTGTACTTGGATACCCCAAAAAATCAATTATGTAATGGGAAGTAGAAGCTGCTAATATACTGAGCCACCCTAAAAAAGCCATTACTACTAAAAGGGCACTGGCTATCTCAGGTATTTTTTTAAGACCAGTCTTTAAGATTTTCTCAGTACAGAGTCCACTTATCAACTTCAGATCCTTTTAGACTTGAGATCCACTCTCCTATCTCCTCCCTGGGATAGTGATTCTTCAGTGCCACAGAGTTTTCCATAAATCTACTGAGGGCATGCTGCTCACAGGGTAGGAGGATTACTGCATGCTGGTCTAAGAACACTTTGATTCTAATTTTACTTCCATCAAATAGCTGTTCAAGAAGGATAAGACTGCTCTGTCCACCTGGACTGAATCCATGATTAAAAGAATCAATGTAGCTTAATAGTTCCAACTCTCAAACTATTTTAAATAATGCAAGTTAATATCAAGAGTATATTAAGTATGCAACTTGTGGAAATTTCATAGTGGTTTATATTTATTATCTCAGGGCATTCCTTACAAACTTCCTATCCAAAGAAGAAACAGGAATTCCAATAG